TTAAAATGAATATGTGCTGGATCATCATTCAAGACTGCTATAACATTAAATATATGGCAGAATGTGGGTAAAACAGAACAGGAGACATACAATTCTCCCCCAAGGAGTTCAGTCACAAATTTAATTAACACTTTTTTTTTTAACAAGCATCATCAGCATGGAAGCATGTCCTCTAGAATGGTAGCCGAAGCATGAAGGGACATATGAGTGTTTAGCATATCTGGCACGTAAATACCTTGCAACGCCGGCTACAAAAGTGCCATGCGAACGCAGGTTCTCACTTTTAGGTGACATTGTAAATAAGAAGTGGTCAGCAGTATCTCCCGTAAATGTAAACAAACTTGTTTGTCTTAGCAATTGGCTGAACAAGAAGTAGGACTGAGTGGACTTGTAGGCTCTAAAGGTTTACATTGTTTTGTTTTTGAGTGCATTTATATAACAACAAAAAAATCTACATTTGTAAGCTGAGTGTAGTTTGTAATGAGTGCAGTTATATAACAAAAAAATCTACATTTATAAATTACACTTTCATGAGATTGCACTACAGAACTTGTATGAGGTGAACTGAAAAATCGTATTATAATTTTTACAGTGCAAATATTTGTAATCAAAAATAATAATATAAAGTGAGCACTGTACACTTTGTATTCTGTGTTGTAATAGAAATCAATATATTTGAAAATGTAGTAAAACATGCAAAACATTTTAATACATTTCAATTGCTATTCTATTGTTTAACAGTGTGATTAATCGTGATTAATTTTTTTTAATCGCAGTTAATTTTTTTGAATTAATAGCGTGAGTTAACTTCGATTAATCAACAGCTCTAAAAATATGAATTCATCATAATGGCTGAATTCTCAAACACACAAAGGTCAGTAATTTCAGAGTGAAGGTTTCCACAGCAACTGTTCCTATGCCCACATTTGTGTATGTAGTAGGTGAGTCTTTCACTATGCTACATGTGTTCATCTCTGATTTTAGAGAAACATTTCTTTGAATTGACTTACATTGTAATATTTGCCTGATATTATTTCACCTGTTGTAATGCACACTTGCTCTCTTCCCAGTTGCTGTGGGAACCGTCACTCAGAAATCCCTGGCTCTTATATTGCAATGTTGTGTTGGTGTCTTTGTTTCATATAGTTTTGTTTGTTCTTTTTGGTAAGGACTGGCTCTGCAGACCATGTCAAAGCAGTTAGTGTTATTTTCTTCTCCCAGCCCACAGGGCTAAGAAACCGGGGAGCAGGTGCTCTCAAGGGAGGGTAGTCCATGTGCAGTCTGAGTCAGGGTTGCCTAGGGAATCCCACTCTGTTGCACTAATCAGACTTAAAACTGGCTTGCTTTTAATTTTAGACCAGATCAATCCTATTCAAACCATGGGATCATTTATTTTCAAGTAGCCAGAAGTTCCGCTTTTATTTGGAGTATGCTGTGACTGCTGTAATTTATTCACCCCAGGAAGTATTAAGCATTCATGAAACAATTATTAGACCAATATGCAAGAACACAGTGTTGTATAGCAGTTCTCATTCTGAATTGAAGACCAAAAATTTGTAAGGATATATTTAATTGCAGTACATATATGTACCCTACCTCACTCCTTCTCCCCTCCCACCCTCAGTGGCCTCTGTAACAATTGTAGATTGGAATAGAACTTACAGTTGTGAAAATAATCAGTGATATGTGAATTTGCACCTATCAAGACAACTGAACTTTTTGTGAAATTTTCACGCACAAAATTTCACACGCAAGAAGTGTTGAGCTTCTACAACTCCCAGGGACTTCAGCTGGAGTTGTGGGTGCTCAGCATCTCTGAAAATCAGATCCTATGCTAAATTTCAACACAAACTGTATTTTTAAAATAATTTGTGAATAAAAATAAAGGTTTAGAAAACAGTGTCATCTGTACCTACTAAAAATGGGTCAAAACCAGAACTTCAGACCTAAACTTTTCAGTTCTGTGAGGTTCCTATTTGAATACCTGAATCTGAATCCATCTCTGCAGTAGAGACCTTGGGTGTAATCCATAACTGAGAGAGGCCTATTTTCTGGTTTTAGTTTGCATGCTTCTGAACTCTTCAGTTCAGGATGGTAGAAATATTGTGATCTTGTGAAATGTTCACCTTACATGGATGAAATATGTAATATTTTTTGTTGTTGCCTAACCTGAACCATACTTAAACCACATCTAGATCCAGATATTGAGCCCATCTCTGATAATTGTGTGTTCCATAGCTATGAATGGTTATTTGGGAACAGTTATTTTTAATAAATAAAAACAACAGTAAAAAGGAATACAAAACTGTTCCTACCAAACAATGTATTCATGAGCTGATGATGTTCATTTTCTAGGCATGCCTGTGAAAAACAATGTTGCAGCACTGCGCCAGTCTCCAGGCCAGAATGGCACCAGCTTCCATGGCTGCATCCGTAATCTGTACATCAATAGCGAACTGCAGGACTTTAGAAATGTGCCACTGCAAGTGGGAATTCTTCCTGGTTGTGAGCCCTGTCACAAGAAAGTGTGTGTGCATGGAACCTGCCATGCTACGAGCCAGTCAGGCTTTACCTGCGAGTGTGAAGGAGGATGGACTGGACCGCTGTGTGATCAGCAAACCAATGACCCTTGTCTTGGAAATAAGTATGTCCTTCCTCAAGACAGAGCTATCATTTAATTTTCTAATGTTAATCTGAGTGTCCTGTTATGTACATTCAATTTAAAGTTCAAATATTTTCAGCAAGATACAAATATACTGTGCATGTAGAAGTAAAAGTTACTCTGGGGTTGGATCACAGCAGTGTAGTCTTTTGCGGGCTGAACTTGAAGAGCACTCAGAAACTTCAGCTGCTACAGTATGTGACAGCATTCTGTAGTATTTGTGGAATAGCTTGGGTATGCCAATTCATTTTAAAAAAAATATTCTTAATGAGTGAAATTTCCCAGTGCAGATGGTGTGACAAAGTTTCTGTACCTCTACCTCTTAAGCCCCACCAAAGGCCATAACAGATGGTACCTAGGTACTTGTGCACATCTTCTACAATGTGAACTACGTTGGTGTGAATAAGACATGAGGAGTGGCATAAGAAATAATCAGGGGGGTTTACAAATGAAAACATATCCATTTCTGTATTCATAATTTTGTTAGAGTATTTCAGAAAAATGTGTTTCATTTTATAAACTGTTTCCCAGCAAGAAGTAAATACACTAATCATAGTTATTTTTTATACTTCCATATTGTCACATGACTCAGCTGGTAGATATTTTTCCCAATGCACAGTTTAACTTCTGTGTTAAGTCGATAATCAATTATGTTAGTAACTCCTGAGTTGCAATTTTGTTTTAATATATTTTGGCTAAACCATTTTAGCTGCATATTCTTGTTGAATATTTTTCTAGATAGATAGGTAGATGAATTGATATAGCTTGCATCCTCACAAGGTTCTCATTGTTGGGTCATGGGCACCCAGCACAAGCCAGGTCAGGGACTCCACTAACAAGAAGTGAGGTTCTTACCCACGAAAGCTTATGCTCCCAATACTTCTGTTAGTATCAAAGGTGCCACAGGACCCTCTGTTGCTTTTTACAAAGCTTTTTAATCACCTACTGGTCATGTACCACAATTTGCTGTTACCTCTACCCATACAACTTTCTTGACCATAATTGGGCAAGCAACTCACTGTGAGAGCTGCAGTTGAACTTTTGGAACTGTTATCATTGATCTCTCATTGTTGCAATTGGCTCCAAAACATGGGGCTTATTTGTTTTTCTTTTCTGCTTGTTTTTCAGTAGTCCAACCTACATGACCTAAAACCACCATGTTCCTTTGATGTCCAATGGATTCACTTTGTGTTTTGCTCAGATTCTGTTGAGTTGTTTTTCAGCTCCTGGGCAGAATGATTTTTAAGTGTCCTTTTTGGCATATTCTGTGATGACACTATTGCCAATTTGAGGCTTTGGCTTAATTATTTCATCACAGTTTTTTTGCACCGACTTCAGAATGTTTCAGTACTCTGAAGTTTATAACTCTACTCCCAAAGCCACATCAGTGAAGCTTTAAAGCATTTCAGCACTTAGTGTAGTACCAAGTTCCTTGTTTTTTTTATTCACGGGGTTTCTTTTCTAGGATGACCCTTTTCTTTGCATCTCAGGAGGAGAAAGAAAGGAAGACCCAGTGGCTTCCAGAAACAGATGCAGCTGCAAGATGTTGATCACAAATTAGCAAGTCTGCTGCATTTTGTGCTTTGGAAGTCAAATATAACATGGAAATGTCATCCATCAAGCTTTGTGTGGGGAGCACCTAAAGACCCAATTAGAGGCACCTCTGAAAGAATTCTATTCGGTTCTATATGGGTTTCTATACCACTTTCATCACTGGAATGTTTCAGCAACTTCCGGTAGTGCATTAAGCGACATGACTAAAATCTGTAATGAGTGTTTTGCTCTTTCTTTCATTGTCTCCCCAAGGGGAAAACCTACATAGTGTTCTGGTTTGGTTTTTTAAGTTTTCATGTACATTTATGTCATGTTCTTTGAATGTACGCTCCTCTGTGTGTTCATCCTGGAGAAAGCCAGGCTGAAGACATTCACCTTGCACTTGGAATGGAAGAGGGTGATGGTCCTTAGTTCCTGTGATAATTCATTATACAAGCTCAGGCCAGCCCCCAAGAAAGTTCTAACTCCTTCCCAGATGATCTTTATTCTTATGGTAGAAAGTTCCATTGTGCCTGAAAAATATAGTTGTTCACCAGAGTGCTCATCTGGAGCTTTTGGCAATATTTTAGATATGTTGGGTCCTGGCCATTGAGCACCTTGAAGATAAGGACCAAGACACTGCACTTGACTTGATGTTTCTTCTACTCCAGTTTGGCCTGGAATGCTTCAAAGGATCTACTGGATTCAAGACTTGGCATTGGCACAGATCCGACTACCTTTTAAATCCGGCAGATCCTCATTACTAGTTGGCTTGATGCAATTTGTTTTATCATCAAACACAACCTCTTTAGAGCATTTCAGGCCTTCGATACTGTCAGCACAACATCGCAGATTGGATGTCCTAAGCTCTGGCTGTTCCTTGGATAATGAGTTGCTTCAACCAGAGGACTAAATGCAGAGAGTGCCACATGAGAGCCAGCAGCCTTGGGACACTGCAGAAGCCTTGAACCCTGTGCAGGTCAGCCTGGAAACGTCTGGTTACCACACTCCAAACACATGCAGCATTTGGAGATTACCTGAGGCTAGGAGACTGAATTGCTCCCATCATACAAGTTCAGGAATAACAGGCAGCAGGCCCAGTGCAGAGGCAGCTCAGAGGTCTTGGCATCCTGGGAGTCTTGTTTGCTCTGGTGTTGAAATTCTCAGTATTGAATACATCAGTGCAGGCAGAGCTGTGCTATATGCAGTTCATTTCAGCACAGCCTGAGTGGGTTGCAGAAGGCATTGTGCTCAGCCATGGTACAAATGGTGTCAATGACTTATCCAGCAGTATTTCCTACCATGCCTTTAAGCACACCATGCTGAATCAGTCATGTGGGACCTAAAGGTACAATGTGGAGATGAGCATAATTTGGTTTCCGCTGATGAGGCTGGAGACAGGAAGGAGAAACATCAGAGTGATTCTGAGTTGGACTGTTGGGATTGGTTTGATCTCCATCCAGGAATCTTCACTCAAATTTCAGAGTAGCAGCCGTGTTAGTCTGTATCCGCAAAAAGAACAGGAGTACTTGTGGCACCTTAGAGACTAACAAATTTATTAGAGCATAAGCTTTCGTGGACTACAGCCCACTTCTTCGGATGCATCCGAAGAAGTGGGCTGTAGTCCACGAAAGCTTATGCT